AATCGCCTGCCCAGCCGCGGCATGCCTCAGAGCCAAGCCGAGATGACAGACGGAAACTTGCCATTTGTTGTGGTTTTGGCAGTAACAGAGCGCAGCGTGTTCCCATGCGCGCCGCTCGTTTAAAAAGGGGCAGCGAAGGCGCTGAGCTGGAGGAGAAAGCTGAGAGCTCCGGAGCAGGAGGTCTCAGGGATGCAGTGCTGAGGAGGAAGGTGGCAGAGTCATGAAAAGATGGTTTAGACTGTTCTGCCAGCCCAGGCAAGCAGGAGACAGGCCTCCGGACAAAAGCGTACCCAGGCATGAGTGCCCCCATTCCCAAACCCCCCAGTAAGACACGCAGCAAGGTCCCCTACACCATATTTCCCTTCCTCATCCCAACAAATTCTGCTAAGCTGCATTTGCACAGCCACAGGAGGATGGGAATTCAAACAGGGGAGCTGGTTCTTGAGGTCAATGCCACCAGAAAGAAATTAGAGGGGTCTGCTGAAAGCGAGTGCCACCTCTGTCTCTGCTCTCCACTAAAGCTGGGGGGCCAAGCACTAAGTAACAATCAAATCTAAATAAACAGACTCAAGGAAAAACATCCAGAGAACAGCAATAAGAACGGCTGAACAGAGAATGAGACAGGGCCATGGGACCTTCAAAATGTTTGCACTGCTGTCAGGAAGCTGAATGAGACAGCAGACTTCAACAGCTGGGAAAACATGTTGCAAAACAAGGAGAATTAAGTAATTCTCCATATGTACATCCTACTCTGAGGCATTTTGGACAAGCTCAATTTCTCCAACCAGAACATTTTCTTTTTTTCCATGTTGCACACGCACCCTGCCAGTGACAAATCTTGATAGAGCTTAAGCCTAAAACCACAGTGCATCTGGAGCTGGGCAGGGCAGCACTGGGACAGGAATCACGGGCACTGTGGTATGTGTTGGATGACATCCTCGGAAGGCTATGTCACCCTGAACACCTCCCCTGCTGCTGGGTACTTGATTACACCAACATGTCCCCTTGCACCCCATAAAACACTTGTAACGGGATCACAGGGGGCTGGGGCTGCCCCGTTACCTGCCTCTGCATCCAGACCCGCCACATGCCCCATAACTGCACCAGTACGGAGATCACAGGTGCTGTGGTACCCCTCTTTGCTGCTTCTGTAGCTTTACAGTCTGGTTGATCATGCAATAATTTGTTATTTCAGCAAGGCAACTCACGTCAAAGTTGCTGCAAATGGTACGACACGACTTACGCTTATTACCACGGGTTGTGGACGCAGCGTGAGCACCCTGCTAGGAGAAGCCATGTTCAGGCACAGTTCGCGAGGCAGAGCTCCGCGCAAGCTTCAACCTGTCTCGCTGCCAACAGAAAATGAAGGTTAAAAGCAGCTGGGTGCATCTGTTCCTAGCCAGCACCTTGAAATCAATCCTGAGACATTCTAGCAGCTTAAAAAGAAGCCCCCTAAAACACCACGTCTTAGTCCTGCAAATTAAAAACTACACAGGAGGATTGCTGCGGACGGAGAGCCTCAGCTGAGGATGAAAAGGCGAAAGAGTGGAGATTTTAATCCATCTGACACAGGCACATCAATGCTCATTTCCCCAGTGTGACAGGTCAGACACCCCGCGGGCAAAGCAGCTCCCGAGCCACAGCCTCATTAACGGGAAACACTGAGGAGCCCTAAACAAGAACCGCAGCTGGCCGGTCCGGCAGCCACATGCCATCGCCTCTTCGCGTCCGGCTGGCACCAAGGCAGGCAGCAACTCGGTACAATAAAAAATAAAAATGTTAAGCTATGCAAAGAAGTTTTAAAGGAAAAAGTCTTGGAAATGCAAGTCCCTGCAATGTGTCCTGGCTATGAATCGAGGGTTTGGAGCTCTCCGGCACCGGAGGGACAGCGCTGCTCCGTGCATGCATTATTTCCATGGCAACGGCAGCTTTCACCTCCCCATCTTTTCGCTGGCTGAAAGCCCTGCAGTGCTTTGTGCTGAGACTGCAAAGAGGGGAGACCATCTCCCCCCACCCGCAACACGGCGCCGGGGATAGCAGCAAGCAGCCCGGGAACAAAAGCCTTGTCTTCACCAACAATGTGGGGCTTGGGAGGAGGGAGGCAGAGCAGAAAGGACAGACTTCCTTCTCTTCTGGGAAACCATCCTTCCCCCAAAGTGCAAAAGTGCACGCTCGCTTCCCAGCGCTGCACAAGTCAACGAGCAAGATGTGCCCTTCCTAGTCTTTCCAGAATTACCAGCTTTGGTTTGCTGTGCCAGAGCGCAGGGAGGAGAAACGTGCACCACTAGAGATGAGGAATTTGAGCATTGCTTCCACGCAGGGATCCCTGCGCAGAATAAGATGGAGGTTGACTGAGCAGGCTGGCAAACTCTCCTGTCGCTGGGAAGTCTGGCTCCATGCACGGTCAGCGAGCCATCATAGAGCAAAACCCCAAAATTCAAACAGGTCTGAGCAAAAGCTGCCTGTCCCCCAGCACCAGCTCAGGCTACACGCACATGGGAGAAGGCATCCGCAGGGTGACTGGGGCAACATTTTTCCTTGGCTAATTAAGCTTTTCCTCCATCCTGGAGTTCCTGATATTAAGATTCAAGCCCTGGTCACCTAACTATGTGCCAAACTTCACGTCACACAGCTGGAGCCACGGTGGCCCTGGCAGACGGTGCGGGCTCATCAGCATGCTCTCCGTGCAGCCGTTTGCTCGCGGAAGGTGACCGGCAGTGCCGCCCGTTGCTGGGGTTACAATCAGCCACGTTTTGGTCCGTGCAAGGAGCAAATAACTGGAAATACAGGTGAAATGCATGCAGTGACCTAGGTATGGCTGGAGCTCTTATTATTGAGCCCAACATACAAAAGTACAGCCAAAATGAAGGCTTCCAGCTGGTTCCCATCACCTACTTTACAATACATCCATAGCTGTCCCAAATATGAATCAACCTCTCTGCAAGATTTAAAGGAAAGCCTGAGAGTATCAACATGAACTTCCCAAGCAAGACAAAGAATCCAGGTGATGGAGCACAGAAATACAACAGGGCCACCATCTGGTCCTCCTCTCCCCACCCCTGAGGAGCCTTGAGATTTCAGGAGAGGCACATTTTGACCTTTCCCTTTCCACACTTCCCCTCACTTTAGGTTCAGCTGTGCAAGTGCAGTCCTTCCAAGCAGAGAGGGACTCCTTCCAGGATCAGTCATCACCACCACCGAGTCTGCCAGAGGCACTGCTAGCAAAGCCAGTGCATCCTCTCCAACCTCTGCAGAGTTCCCTAGATTAGCCCTTTCCTCCCTAAGGGCAACAGTTTCCTGCAAGCAAAAGCATTAACCAAAATTCTTCATTCTGGAGAGAGACAAAGTAGCGGCAATACGAAGAACCACTGCAGCTGATGCTGTCAGACAACACCACATCCTGCGATCCAAATTCCTCACCCTCCACTTCAATCCTAAAGTCGTTCAAGACTTCTAAGAAGAGCACAAAGCTACTCAGCAGATTTTCAGCTAATGAATCAACACAAGCTGTCCAGGAAACCAGAAATCCAGCCCACTGGAATGCTGCAACCCCAGGGAGGGGGGGGGGAACAGGCAGTAGGCTAGGAAGGAAATGAAACAGCAAAGCAGAAGGAAAGGAACATTTCAGTACTGACTCCTCTTACCACAGTTACTGTGCTGCATTACACATGTTAGGGAAAAAAGTGACTTCAATTCATTTTGCACATTGAAGCGTTCATGTTCTTCAAGCCTGAATTTTGTTCTGCAGTGCTGACATATGTACATTTTGAAAACAAGTCGGGTTTTGTGATTAAAAAAAAAAAAAAAGAAAAATTAAATGTGAATCAACATTGCCACCTAGCGACTAGCAAACTCCCTTGCTCATGACGCTTGGATTATCCGCCAGAATCACATTTCTTTCCCAAATGCTAGAGGTGGATTTTAGCAAAACATATCTGGAGATTAGAGATCTCAGATGGAATTGTGTATCTTTCATATGCAGCCTTCCCCCGCCAGCAAGCTCAATTTTCACTCCAGAATGCAAAGTTCACTGCTGGTGACTTCAGTTTCTCCAGACAGCTGAATTTGACTTGGTACCTTCTGAATACAGGCAAACAGTATCACACCAACACAAGAACCCAAAGCTACGGCAGCTACAAGCAGAAGGTTACGCACTCAAGAGGAATTTCAGTGATTAGCAGAAATCTCTGCTGGGGGACAGTCAGTTCCCTGAATGTTGCACGAGAGTTCATTGTTGTGGCTAGAGTTATGCAAGATGCCTTGTAGCCTCAGCGCTAAACACTGATACTGTACTGGCCTCGCCTTACTGGCACCAGATGTAAGCAGGGTTCTGCAGACATGCACAAGACTGGGAAACACATTTCTATGCTTCTGTTTTTCCCCAGAACAGATGGTACAAAAGCAGCAAGTTTCCCCCACTCCATCCCCCCATTGGGTCCGACGATTCTCCGGTTATGGTTATTAGCAAACTTTGAGAGAAGCACAAAGATCTTCTGCCCTTTGAATGGACACATTTCAGTGAGCTCTTCAAATGGGTTTTTTGTCACTTCCAAGTGAATCTATATCCAGGCGACAACATAAAAGAAAAATGCAGATGCTAATTCCCTTAAGGATAGCACGTAAGGTTGAGTTAGCTCATTCTCCAGAAGTTTCATGAGATAAAGGATTCCAGTTTGGTTTTGTGCCTTTTAAACGCCCAGCTCCCTGTTCACCTAAAATATTTCTGTATATGCAAGACAGCAACCTAAGGCATCTAGAAGCTTTTTTTAGCCAAGGAAAAGGAAGGAATACTGTTGTCTTTATCAATAGTGCCCTGCAATTCATCTGTCCAGACTCACAATTTTACAGAGCATCAGCAGGATCCAGCAAGTGCTTTGACTGCTGCCCCATGCAGCCACATCCGATACTCATTCCCCTGCTACCAGGAAGCGTGAGCTGTCCTCCCAGCTCTGCTGCCCAACACTCCAGAAGAGACCAAATGGCAAGGATCACCCCGTTACCTTTCTGCAGCGGGGATTAGGGCAACTGAACCGGTTCACATCGTTGTCCAGTAGAGCTGGGAAGTTACAGAACGGACACCTGCAGCCCAAAATAAGATGCCGTTAATGCAAGATGCCAAACATATCTTTGCTGAAAGCAGATTTACTCAAATAGCTACATGGTAGTCAATAAGGCTGCCAACCAAATGCCTGCCGCCAGGATGTGCTGACTGCTGCCTTTTTGCTCATACTTCTTCGATTGTTTCCCTGTTTGCAATCAAAATATTATATGCTCAGCACTGCTTTTGACCATGCCATTTAGAGGATCAGCACAGAGCTGGCAAGCAAGTCTTGGGGGAGACAAGTCTATTGAATTTTAATCTGCTCCTAGTCAAAGGCAGACCAATGTGAATAAAAACAGACTTGGGAAGGCAAGAGCCTGAATTTATAATGGTTCTTTGAAAGCTGCCTATCTCCTAGTCAGCACACATTTAGCGTTTCAGGGAACGATTTTCTACATTAAGTGCAGTCTGCATCCTCTGCCGGACACTTACCTGACAAGCTCATCCGCGCAGGCAGCAGCCACCTCCTCCTCAGCTTTCCGCTCGTAGTATTTACAGAGGATGTTCTCTGGAAGCACCTTCTCCAGCTCGCTGGTGGGGAATGAACACGTGCAACTGCCTTCCATGCAGCTGAGCTCTGACTAGGGTTGGAAGGAGAGAGCTCGAGTTCAGTACGATACTAGCAAAAAGCAAGACTCAGTACCCAGAATACAGCTGCCAGGTGACACCTTTACATGAAATATAGATCCCAGAGTACAAAAGCATCCCACAGTTTGATCATGGTATCTCGAGGCAAAGGAGCATGCACACCTCAGAGCAGGTTAATGACTTGTTTATAGCTCAGCTAAGTACCAGGATAATTGCCAGCTAAATTGGAGACTAAGAAGGTCATAGAGGAACCAACCTCCAAATTAAGTTGGGATCACAATGATATTATGAAGGACAATCTTAGCTAGGAGGAGACTGGCCAGGCCAGAGATAAGAGTGTGTTCTCTGTGCAGATACCATTGGTTTATGAAGTAGAAAATAATTGCAAGTTATTGTTGTTACGACGAACGCTGTAGAAAGTTTTCCTAATAATCCGAGTTGCTAAACACAGAGCAGAAAAGACAGAGGTTCACAAAACTGAAATCCTGTTCAGCAAAAATCTTGTGAAGTTGTTGGCTTCACTTGACAGTGAGTCCAACTTGCTGGATTTGGATTTCAGGACACAATTCCATCCAACTATTTCCCGGTAAGTGCAGTTACATCCGATTTAAGCAACAACACTATGCAAACAGCAACGGGATCTCCCAATAGCAACCTACCCATTTTCCCCTCATCCAGTTGGGAAATTCTTACCTTCCCAGAGCCAAAGACTGCCTCCTGAGCATATTTAATTAGGCACTCCTTGCAGAACAAGTGACCATCTGCACACTGAGTTAGCTCTTCAAACGCAAACTCCCCGTAGCAGCAGCGGCACTCAATCATCTGACCATCCTGCAGCCACAAACCGAGTTATATCAGCATCCTCACCAAAACATCGATAGCTACAGCAACACACAGGCACATACAACTGCAAGCCACAAACAACACCAGCACTATTTCTAAAAATTTGCAACAGATATACACCATTCCATTAGATATCCTATTTGCTGGTCAAAACTCACTAAAGCACAACCAGAAACTCACAGTTTTAAGTAACTTGGTATCTACGTGTCCTGCTTGACAGGTTCCAAAAAGCTACAGAACACAGGGTGTTTTAATAATTCTCTGCTCCCAGGCAGAGAAGCATCTCAGGCTCGGGAAGCTGCCATGGCAGGGAAGCAGCAGAATATGCATCGTTCATATGGGGAAAACCAAGCTTCAGGTGTGTGCCCTCTAAAGGAACAGTGACCCATCTGCCTGGAGAGACCTTGTCCCAGCCTCTTCACTGCAGGGGTGCAGAAGTTTGCCACTGTTAAAGAGTAAGTATGCCCACTTCTTCAGAGGTCCAACATCTTCTCCAGAGGTTGAAGAGAAATGGGCATTGAGGATGAAAAGATAATCCACAGCTGCTGAAGTCTAACTTTTCTCTCTTTTTTTAAAGGGAAAGACCTGATTTTCAGGTTTTTAAAGAGTCCTTTCTGCATATGAAGAAGGCCTTTCCACTGGCAGAGCTCCAACAACAGCAAATCTGTTTTCAACAGCCATAGTGGTGGTAGCGAGAGCAAACCTGGTCCTATTCTATTGCAATGTTTGCTCTGACCAGTAAAGACACAAGCAGGAGCTGACTGAATTACTACAGATCATTATGTGCATCAATACTGTCTTGCTGGACTCAGCTCTTGTCTACCTTTTCTAAAAGCCAGCCAACACACACTATGCAGGTTTTGCCAGCTCAGCAAAAGCAGCACAGTGCAAATGCAGCCTCAGAAAAGCTCCACTCCAGAAGCCAAGTGAAGTACTTGCTGTGAAGTACTAAGTGCAAAACAGTGTCAATGCATAATCTGAACTCGAGGGACCACGTTATAGATACTGACCTTCTGATACTGCTCCTCATTCATCTGCAGAGCAAGGAGAAAGTCTGCGTGCTGTAAGAAAGACACGTGCATCAGTATTTACAGAATACAGAAAGCAATTTTCCAGCCCCTACGCTCTTTCACATTATCTCAGGACTTACAAACCACCATAAAAGGCTCACTGCTTACAACATCGCTCAGCCCATCCTTCCAATCCATTAAGCTATTTATGATTCAGCTAAAACAGATGGGAAAAGCAAAGGCAGCAAGAACAAAGAACCAAATTCTATATTCTGGAGGGCTCCTGGTTCAGGTTTCCATGGGCAGAGATGATCTCACCCAACAGGCCCCTCCAGAGAAAGCCCCAAGGAACATCAGCTTTGTGTTTAAAAGGAGACAACCCCTCTGCCTAAGAGACACGGATCTTCATGAAGGATTGTAGGTATGGAGCTGTGAATTCGGTCTTCCCTCGGACTAGGAGGGGAAGACAACACACCAGTGGGTGTTGTGGGGTTGTGCTTTGAAACACGTGCTCCTCAGCACAGGACGCGGCGTTCTGCAGGGACAGGACTGCCAGCTTGGGGAAGGCAGAGCGAGGGCACAGACCGCCTTGGGCCGGGTCATTACTTGCCACCAACACCGAGCTGCAATTACAAGCCCTAAAGCAGCAGAGAAGCCTGCTAACAATTAGAGGAAAGAATTAATTAGTAGAGCTTTTACTACTTGGTAGCAAACAAGGTCCAGAGCGGTGTTGTACCATGGACATACATCAACACCAGCAGATATGTGGAAGGTGTTCAGCAGCACAAGTGGCTGCTGCTGTATTTAAGTAAATATGAAACTCTGTGCTTGGTTTTTTCCTCTAAAAATGAATTACTTGTGAAGAGTCATACATGTTAACAGGTAGGAAACAGGCAAAGGTAGTCAGTTATTCAACATTTTTTTGTTCAGCATTTGAATTTACATGTCTAGGGCCAAGACCTCTACAGCAGTTGAAGCTGTTTGCACCACAAGACCAAAGCAGCTCCCACCACTCACCTCTGCCATCTCTTTAACTTTCTGCTCATAGAATTCCTGCTCCAGTAGCACCGGTGGGAGAAGAGAAAGCTTGTCATAGGACCTCCAGTGCCGTCTCTTATTCTCCAGGAAGAACATGCGCTTCTCAATTTTCACATCCCCTAAAGCAGAGCGAAAGGCACAATGACATGGCACGGAGAAGCCAGAACAAAGCTTCAACCCCTCTCCCTCCACACACCACCGGCTGCATAACTTCAGCATCTCAAACAGCACTGTCCCAAGCAGATGAACTAATGCAGAGCATTTCCAAAACAGACACCAGCCAGTGACAGAAACAAAGCTGGTTTGGGACCACACCTCTTTTTAAGAACAGCACTTTCTGCTGCAAGCCAGTTCTGCTTACAATAATGATTCAGAGAGCACTGTACATACAATTTCGTATTTACCTTGCTCAAATTTGAAGTCTATGTATGAAAACTGATTCATTTCTTTCCTCCTTTTTCGTTTCCCACTGGTTTCGGGAGACAGTTCCTGCCATTTTTTGATGGCATCTGAAAAGGCCTAAAAAACAACATACAGACTTAAATCCTGTCTGTTCCTGGAAGAAAGCAGAAGCACACACTTCAAATCAAAGCCTGGTACTAACACGTGCAGAAGACCAATCTAAAACTGGAAAACCAAACACCACATTTGGGTTAAGTATACCTCTTCCCTCTGTTCACCTTGTTGCTTTATGTACTCACGAAGCAATCATTACATAAAAACAAAATAATTGAATGATACTTCACAACACCGCAGCTATTAAGTCTAATAACGCTGGTGTCTACTCTGATGCAGCAGAGCTGGTTTGGGGTTTTTTTGTTGTTGGGTTTGGGTTTTTTATATATATATATATTTTTTTTTTTTTAAAAGCAGCTCAAATACTAAGTGCCCAATCAAGTAAGTGAAGGAGTTTTTGTTTTAGTTAAGTCCTGGAATAGCGGAGAAAGAAGCTCAAGCAAGAGGAGCAGGTCCAAGTCAAGATCTTGAAGTCCCATTTATATTCAGTTTGTTGATACTTATACAAGTGTCTTTGCAGCTCCATTAGAGTGAAACTCTTTTACGAGGAATATAGGACTCATTCCACAAGGCATAATAAGAAGAAACAGGACAGTGAGACTTGGGCCTCTTTTCAATTACATGCAGGCAGTTAACTAATAGCAGCAGTTAAATGTTTTAAGATTTAGCTAAATGTCTAGGCTTTATTGGCAATTATACTGCACTTCAGCGGCAATGTAGAGGAACACTTCTCAGTTTAATGCATCGCCTGCCATCAACTAGCCAGCCTTTCCCCAGTACTCCTATTAGAGAAAAGTAAAAACTTCCTGCAGCATTCTGTCTGGCCAATAAATTTTGCAAATCTCTACTAAATGGATTAATACTTCTTAAATGGAAAGGAAGATTACTAAAAAAAAAAAACATAACCACACACTAGCAGATGGTACAATAAAGGCAAAAGACATCACACTGCTCTCCAGACACAGATGACCCTAGGAAGGAAAAGAGACTTGAACCAGAGAACCTTTCGCGTGATTGCATAGTGTCCCTTGAGTTCATGTAGTGCCCACTTAATGTCTTGGCTGCTCAGCATTTTGAAGTCTGCCATAAGGAGGTCAGCTGCCTGAATAAAGCACCGCTGATCGAGGGGGGCAAGTTTGGAAAAGTCAAAGTAGTCCACTTTAGGCACCTACGGAGAAAATGCGAAAGATATAAAAAGGTTGGTACATACACACCCAAGAACACCCCAAACCATTCTTTCCGTGATCAGGACCTTCTGCAAGACCACCTAAAATTCAGATTGCATGGCACCCAGTTCTGAGCATCAGCTCAGGGCGCAGCATGGGCGTGAAGCCTCCTGGTCTGTGCACTTCTGCGGGCAACCTGCCCTGAGCGGCTCCGCATTGCAGCTCTGCTCCCAGCACGACCCACGCTGCGTACAGCCATTGTGCGGGGCTGTGCGAGACAGCGAGGAGAGGATACGTTTAGGTTACTGTAAAGGGTGGACAACTTTGTTGGCTCGAGGTGGAGAGATACTTCCAAGAGTAAAATTTATTTTAAAATTTGAGGCCAAATTTTTAGGTAAAATAATTTTTTAGGTAAAATAAAAGGTATTCAACACTTCTCTCTCTCAGGACACACACAGCTATTTCAACACACTCAGGGCAGCTCAGAGACAATTTTTTGTAAAATGGACTTAAAAAAATAAATCAGGAAGCTGTAGGGAGATTTGCAGTTAGGAGGCTGAAAGGCAACGCCTGAAGGCCACTCAAGAGAGACCTGAGGGCCAAGCCTCCTTCGTTAACAGAATCACCAAGGGATTCTTGTATCTGTACAGGCAGGCAGGGCAGAGGGTCTCGCCGAAGGCACAGGAGTGGACATTGCGCAGTTATGCAACAGCCAAACACAAAGTCAACTTGCAAACTAACTATTGCTGTTCAACACCATCTCAACTGCACCCGGAGGCCTGGGTATGGCTCAACCAGGCACCCTAAAAATACACACTACTAGACCCAGACAGCCCAGGATCCACCCGGGTTGAGCAGGCAGGATGGAGGCATGCTGTGGTGAGGATACTCTCACTTGCCTTTGTCTCATCTTGGCTGGCAAGCAGGCTGCTGCTGGGATTTAAAACCACTCTGCCTTCCTTCTTTGGGTAATCTGGATTTTCCAAAAGAAAGTTACAAAGCCTGAAAAGACAAATACAGTTACTTCAGGGTTGGGGAGCTCAGGTTTATGCCTCACTTGCCCAGTTTTCAGTATCCTGTAATTAGGAGGCTGGGCAGGCAAGCCACAGCCTGCCCTGTAAGAACCAGGAGAGGTCTCAGACTAGAGCAAACAGAGTAAATGACTGAGAATTAAGTAAAGAATGATCAGCTGTGTGACTGCAGAAGGAAAAGCAAATAGATCTGTCTTTCAACAATTGCATTTACATAAGAGAAGGTTGCATGGGTGAGTTACGAACCCACCTGCATCTCTCCATGGCAGACGTGAACTATCAGGCTTACCCAGCAATGTGAGCGGGGAAGTAAAACCACGAAAAGTGGCACCTCCTTTGAGCACACGTCAAATCCTGCAGAACCGAGAGTCACTGCGTACTAACTTCCTGCTGCGCTGGAACTAATGTGAAGAGTGTACAGGAGAGAACAGTCACAGCATTAGGGGCACTAAGTGAAACCTCGCTGCCATCTACTGCTGCTAATGCAAAGGCACCCATGGAAAAAGCACACAAATCCCTACAAAACCTGTGAAAGGGTGATATCTTCCTTGACAGAAGATTACAGATACAAATTTGAGTTAAAGCCTCCAGTCTCTACCTACTTTCACATTAAAGCAGGGACACAAACGTGTTTAAACACAATACATACTCTGAACACGGGTTTCATTGTAATAAAGCTTCAAATCACACCAGCACTGTCCAATCCACACTAGAAACTGGTCTGGTGAGAACAGCATTTAGAAAATAATCCCTAAAAATGTCTTTAAAAACACACAATAGCCTGTAAATGCAGCATACCTGAGGTCCTACCACAATCAATCACAACTATGTCAGGTCCATTTAGTTTAACTGAGTATTTCAGCTTAGGAAAGACTCCAGCAAGTAGTTTCAGAATATTCCATTGCTGCAGATCTACCAATACATCGGAAGCCCTTCTGAAAGGGAAGCTGGCTGTAGGCTATCTCCCTGAATCAGACCTTCACAGCTTATTGGGAGCCATCACCAACCAGCTGTGCCAGCTCAGTCAAATAACAGAAGCTGTTCCTCAGTTTCCCCAGCTGTAGAATAACAGCGTTCTGAAGGAGCCAGAACAAGCAATTAACATTTGTAAAAGTTGTTGAATGAGAAGGTGCTAGGTTGCAGCAAAGACATAATTGCAGCTAATTTACATTCCTGATGTCAGAAATCAGCCCCTAATTAAGAAATCTGAACTGGCTGGAAGCATTAATCCACTATCAAGGCCTGATTACTTTAGCCCTGCTTTCACATTCAAAGCAGCGGCGGTTCTTTTTGTTTAATCAGGTATTGACATATTGAGCCAGAAGCTTTTGACTGAGTGTGAATGCTCCTGCACACAAAAGCTGAATAGATGATACCCTGCTAAGAGGAGCTCCAGCATCTTATCTTTCACATCACTTGAAAGTTTGAAGTCCATCATTTCAGAAAACAACAAAATATCTCGCCACTGAGCATTTAATAGCTCCCACCCCCCCATCCCTTTTGTAAAAGATAACTGTTCTAATCCAACAAAACAGAAACTTCAAGGAGCTCAAATCACTGCAGCTCAAACGCGAGGGTTTCAGCTGGGGCCCAGTCAGAATACATTTGAACTATTCTGCATGTTGCCATGTCAATGCTGGGGATTTTCAGAGATGTTAACCTCCAGCGTCTGACAATTAGTTAAGTGGGTCCCAGCGCGCAAGGCACGCACACTCGCAGCACTGTTCATTAATATCTGCGCCACAGGACACAGAGCCAGTTAAAAGCCTCATCCCTGCCCAAACCCAGCCATCCTTATTTATGATATTTCAAGCCTGATTCAGCTTGACATACCATGGAGATCAAAGAGACCCCGCCAGCCAGGCTGACCAGTGCTTTGACCCATTTTGTTCTCGTACAAAAGACGCAGTGACAACTCTAAAGATAGTTTGGTTAAAGGAATAAAAATATGGAGAAGAAATCTTTATCATCCAGTAAGTGGGTAACGCACCGCTGAGCAGACACTGTAGCTGGCCTCCGGGGAAGCCTGTAAGCACCTTTTCATCTCACTGGGTCTGTGGCACACAATGGGAGAGAGGAGATTTCGGGAGCAAAAAGAGAAGGAACACATTAAGACTGATAGAAGCCGATACTGGGACTTAATTCTATCAGGCTTCGCTAATACCCTGCAGGACACAATAACGAGTTTTTTCACACAATCTGCGAGAGGGTCCTGCAGCTAGATGCCTAACTTCAACAGCCCGATTGCCCCGAGGAACGGCCCTACCAATCTCCTACGCTCCCAACGCAACCATCCACACCGAGGTGCACCAAGGACATGGTGCGGGCACCCAAAGCTTCTCTCATGCTGACCACAGCACCGCCACAGGGAAAGCACTTCGGAAAGACAAGAAAAATTACAGTCTGATGACTTTCTGACCAAGAAGCCCTACTTTGGAGACATGACTTCACAATACAGGCAAAGGCAGCAGAAGAGGAAATCCATGCCCGATGGATGGGATCATCCTTAGTTCCTTGCCAGTTAACTCATTTATGGTCCAATAACTAATTCCAAGCCTCACGCACTTGAATACTGCTTAATTACTGCCCCAGTTAACTGGAAAGGGCATGGGATTCATAGCAGATAGAGCGAATACTCTGGCACCCAACACCCATTCTTCGTTCTTGTATCCCATAATAACCAGTTTCGACACGTTTCAGATAGCAGTGACAGCTGCAGGGAGAGAAAGAGAGAGGGGCCACCGAGCACCAGACACAAGTCAGAAGTGATTTACTTCAAACCACTCTCCCCCTGTGCCACTGGTGCCAACACACGCAATCCTCCGCTCTTCGGCTGTGCCAGCTTCACCCACAAGGGCAGGGGGATGACGCAATTTATCAATAAGGTTAATGGCTTTCTTTAAACTTTTGATTTTAACTCCCACAGATATCAAGCACGATGAACACTAAGGTATTCTGGAGCTGCTAATACAACCGGGAAAGCACCAGTCCTCATGCTGATTTGCCAGTCCTTTTACTTCCCTTCTTGGCTCACATTTCCGCTCAGTTTGACCAAAATCAGTCCATCAACAGATATCTAGAATCAATCCTACCAACCCTTCAATGTGTTTGCTCTACTCTACAAAAAGTGATGTGAGAGAACTCAAGCAGCACCACTGCTACTTGATTAAGTAAAGGGGATAAAAGCCAGCCAACATCATGACATTAAATAAGGGAGTCCAAAGCAGCATCAGCTTTACCTGGAAAAGGCAAAAGCCAGTGAAATTAAGAGGTAAGAAACCAATTTCTCCAACTCAAAACTCACACAACCACCTTCGCACTATGTTTTATAGAAGTCACCTCAACATCTTAATCCTGACACCTTTTTTAAGGACCCTAGTAGTAGTAAAGAGGAAGTTAAGTAATATCTTTAAATAAGCAAATTATCTTGAAAGCAGAGAAGCTACAGTACAACGTCAGAATTAGAGGGAATGTAAGAAAAGCTCTATTAGAAGGAAAAAAGAAATTCTCTACTCTTTGTCACTATCACCGCAGTGCTGACTCCCAGCCTGGATGTGCTATAGAACAGTGTCACGAGCAGGTGGGGAAATGGGAATGTGACTGCAGCCCGACTGTTGTACAATATGCCCTGTACTTACACATTTAAGTCATAGCAATTCTTGATGCTGATTAGCTCTTCAATATATTCCTTCGTCACATCTGGGAATCTTGCTTCCTACAGTAGGAAAAGCTAAAGGTTACAAAGGTATTAGAGGAGCTGGGTAGCACAACCTAGCAACAGCACCAAAAAAAAGAGATTTATAGGTAATTATCTATCATGTTCCTGAGACAGGGGCCAAAATGGATTTCCAGAGACCGTTTATATCCATCCAGCCTAGATACTGCAAGCTGCTGGCTTTCCTTTGCTCTACAGGATGATCACTAACAGCTCGCTTTCACAAGGAGAGTAAGGGTAGAGATGTGAATGGCCACGAGCAGCTGGCCTAACAAGTGATTCAGGCTGGATGGAAAGAGGAAAAGCACGTAGGTACGATCTGCAACACAAGCAAAGCTAATATTTACCTTCAGACAGAAGATTAAGGAGTTCCAGATTGTGTGCTGAAATTCAACATTCCAACGCAGAAGGAAAAAACCCAACAATACGTACACCCACCCAAAGCACCCAGACACACCAGCAACGAGATCAGAACAACAAACCTTTACTGACATTCCTGTGAAAGCTCTCCCAGCATTAGCCACGTAGCAAAGAGCACCCTTGCTGCTCTCTCCTGCTGGGTTTCTGTCCAGGTGTTGCAGTCGATTGCACCATACGATGATACTTTGCTTTCAAGACTGGACTGGTCAGGGCCGTCAAGCAACCCTGACAATGCAGGAGTATCTACTCGCCCATTTCAAAGCAAAGGTCTTACTTGGAAAGAACTTAATTTTGTTGGACCGCTACTTAAAGAATATTTTCCTCAACCCCAGCTTTCCTAAACAGAATCAGATATGGGATGCGGACGGAAGACTTGGAGGGGCTGGGGTGGTGCTGTAAGATACAGATGCAGTAAAAGATGCTTGTTTGGAAAAAAGTATTCCCTAAGGCACTGAGACCCTTCCTGCCTAGCAATCAAGGGTAGGAGTGTGTACTCGAGGGGAAAACATTGGACACATGAAACATCAACACTTTTGTTTTGTTTTTTAAATATACACCATGTTGCCCAAGCTGCTGAATACACCCAAGGTTAAGGACTACCCTTCTTGGTGGTTCAGTTCTCATAGCTAGTGCCCCTCACGCTGAGCTTCACACACACAGGCTCAGAAAAGAGCATGTGGAGTTCACATACACGAGTCTTCATGCTGCTTATCCAGTAATCCCTCAGAGCTACTGCCTGGAAACCCACACTGCGAGGACAGCCATTACCCCTGACCTCCATGGTGGCCTTAACACAGCCATGGGCCAAACAGCTTCAGGCGAGGCAGCTGAAAGCGGCCATGGCTCTTCTCTACCCCACCCTCCATCCCTCTGCCAGCATTTAGTGTCTCAGTTTCGTTCGTTTAGCCCTACATCCATTCCTACACCAGCTCTACAGAGTTGTGTTAGGAATCAGCCAGACATACCCAAACTAGCAGAGCTGAGAGGGAACAGACCCATGTTATTTCACCTGCCCCGACACCCTGGTACCAGTTCTGCCAAACCTCTCTGGCAAAAAGCCCGTCCCAAAGCAACCAGTGCCCTCAAGATTCACATCCTCTTCTGCCAAAGTGCTGGGGTTAGTCTTTCAAACCAAAGTTTTCCAAGGCAGTTCATTGCATGCCTCTCACCCGGTGCATAGCTGAGCCTCAGCCAAAACGAAGAGGATTTGCAGCTGAAGTCAACAGGGCTGTGCTCTGGGCATGTGAAACACTACACACCTTGAAAAACCTGTCTGAAAATAACATGCAAACTTGCAGGCAAACAAGGCCCGGGAATACTTACTGTCTCTCTGATGAGCAGTGCCATGAGGTCCTGGTCCTGCCCAGCAGCTCCTTGTTCTGGCACATTACCGGAGCCAAGTTCCTGAGAGCCCTGCGCGGGGAACACTGGACCTGGCTGTTCGTTGTCTATCGCTGCCTGCTGACCCGTTTCTTCTGGTGGATGTGCCGGCTGGGGTGAACCCGGACCCGGAATCCCATCCTGCTGTGGTTCAGGTCGGGGGAAGGCTGGCCCAGGAGCCTCCTCTCCATACGCCCTCAAAGATCCTGGGTCCGCTTCAGGCTGCCCTTGCTGAGGAGCACAACCATTTACTACAGCGTGCGGCTTGTTTTCCAACGGCTGGGGGTACGGGTGATCCTGCTGGCTGTTCTTGTGGACCTCCTGGTCTGCGGTAGTTGCAGCAGCTGCTCCTCCAATGTTTTGCTCTGGCTCCAAGTCCTCTCCCTGCCATCCCTGGGCTTCCACCTTTTCCTCCCGTTGTGGAGGAAGATCTGGTTTCTCCAGACTAATGATTTCTCTGTTAATAACAGGCTGTGGGCTCATCTTTATTGCTGGAAGCAAACTTGGGCCAGGCTCCTGGTTACTTGTAAGTTCAAACGTGGGGCCATTAAGCTCAGATGGTCCAGGCTGCTGCAAGGCAAAGTTCATATTCTCATCCCTGCTTGGTGCAGCATTGCTCTCCACCATGTGATTATACCGGTCTCCCTGGCACAGCAGAGTTGAGTTCTCATCTTGCTGATATATGTTCTTCAAGGGCCCGACAGCACTTTTAGATCCTCCTTCTCCCACAGTGTTTGCACCCTGCCATTGAGCAGCAGGTCTGATGACATTGGGACGCAGAAGCTGCTGATGCTTTCGAGTCTAAAAAGAAGACAGACAAGAGTAAGTAGGAGGTCTTGTCTGCATGTCATAACCCTTGCTCCAGACGTTCACAGAATGGTTTGGGATGGAAGGGACCTTAGAGATCATCGAGTCTCACTCCCTGCCATAGGCAGGGACCCCTCCCCACTAGCCCAGGTTGCCCAAAGCCTCATCCAGCCTGGCCTTGAACCCCTCCAGGGATGGGGCATCCACAGCTTCTCTGGGATCTTTTACATCTGATCAACTTCTGATGGGAAACAGATGAAAAGTCTGTTTTTCAAGGTGCTTAATAAGGCCTAAAACTGCAACCCTCGTATCTGTTGTTTCACTGAACTCCACCCTCAGTCTGTCCCCAGGTGCTAAGAGAACACCCGGCAGGACTGGGGATGCACAGGACTTTTTCAGACTGGAATAGTTTCCTGAGCTCACCCCAGTCCCCACTTCCCTCCCAGTAAAATAGCCTGGAAAGGAAGAACTTACTGATGGTATATTTGCATTCCCACTGATATATTTAAACAGGCAGCAGGAACGAAAGCTCAAAAATGTTAATCTCTGGCCTTGGTCTTGCCTCTGGCAGGCTAGGACTGCTGTATGCCAAGAGTTTGAAAATTCTCTGCTACTGTTTTCAACTAAGAAACAGAAGGGTCAGCTTCACAATCAATTTTCTCAACGACTCTGGTTACTTTAACAGAAAAGCAGAATATATTCTTAATATATCTTAGATATGAGATTAGACACTTAAAAATCAGGGTAAGCTTTGACTGCCTGTGCCAGTGGGAAGACATTCATCAGGTGCGCTGGCTTTGTAAAACTGAAAAAGTGTCAGTGCCTGCAACAGCCCAAGCAGAGTCTGAACAGCCCAGAGGAATATAAAACATACCAGGTCAAACAAGGCATGTTTTGAAAACCCGCCTTCTGAGGAACATCAAGTCCTCTTACAAAGCACTCCACCTTTCTGGATTTAGATAGATAACTTTAAGGAAGCTGCAGCCTTCGTTATGTAGAACTCTAAATACAGTGCTGTTTAACAGTCTAGTTCTCCCCTCCTGTGGGCTAAATATGATTAAACACTTAAAGCCAGTGAAATGCCATCATTTCAAGATTCATTTTCAGGCACCCTAATTAAATTACTGTAACCAGACAGGACTCTCAAAGGAACGCATCAGATATTTGCACAAGAGGTGGCTATAAAGGCGACTAACAAAGCAGGGCAACTACAAGAATGAAAAATTACCTCTACCAAGATGACTACATCATCGTCATCTTCCTCATGCTGCTGCTCTGCTGGAATTTCCAGCAACAAAGGTAATTCTTCATCCGAGGAATCCGATATTGTGATAAGACCTTCGTCCCTGCGGTTTATCCTGTCTGTAGTAAAGTGAGTAAAGTTAGCCATTTGCTAAAAGTAAATAACTGAAATTACAGGGCACAGGTACCGAAACATCCGAAAAAGCAATCTGCACGTTTGCATTGCAGCAACAGGGAAGAAGTGCTCAAAGGTCACCGGTTCCTCTGCAAGTTACTGTTCCAGCCACTCCTACCTCCCTGGGCTCTCTGAGCAAAACACCTGCACAACCCATAGCTCAGGAGACCACATCGGCACAGGCACAGAAGAGTCACTCATTGACAATTATGCAGAGGTTCTTCTAGCCCAAACTTCTGCACAAGTTTAGCTGCTGCAAAAATTATTCTGAACAAGCCACATCCAGAGTACTTCCTAATTTTTGCAGAAGTCCTGAACTTTCAGTATCGCAGGGACAATATATTTTCTTTCATTCATGCGCTGTGCATTCTAGAGGAGAGATAAGGTTCCCTGAGCAATTTGGCTTCTTCCAAAAGTGTGTGACTTTGCAGGAGGACCTTATACAAGGCTGAGATAGGGCCCCTGACGCTGGGCACAGAAGATATCCTGCTATTAGATGACAACCTTGTCCTTCAAGGCTTGTCAGGTGTGGAACACTGAGCACAGCTGCTGGAACTCAGGAGAAGCACTCCAGACAGAAACAGAGCGTTTCTGTACTGCACAGACAGCATACAACCACACTTTTCCTTTTTTCAAGTCGTACTTGACAAATTTTGGTTTACGCTTAAGCAAAAGTATTCATGATATTAATTTATCAGGCATACGCAGAAAGGATCATTTTGAATTCCACTCCTGAAGGACCAGGTGCCAACGTGTTCAGCCCCATGACGGCCAGAATGCAAAGCCAGCCTTCTCTCCGGCGAGGTCCTCAGAAAGGAGGAACACCATAAACCCCTCGGATCCGCTGAAATCCCTCTAACATGCTGTTCCCAAGAAGTTAGCAGTCTGCCTTAAGGCAGTACAACATGAGAAAAGCAAGAGCCAAATATTTCGCGTGTCAGCGTAAAATGAGAGAATTTTCTGTAGGTGGCTGTGAAGTGGAACAGAGCAGCGTGCGACACAGCAAACCAGACCACTGCGGGTTCCCAGTAACAGCACTGGAGCAAGTGTAGTACCTATGGATCCTGCTGCTCGTAAGCAGAGCTTCACAAAGAGAGTTTGGGAAATATGCACAGATCTGTACTCACCTTTCCCTCTGTGACTACGGAAGCTGTTCAGGTTAATCACTTCTTCGTTTCCACCTCTCTCTGCCATTTTCAACAGCTGTACCCCCAAGTGTCAGTGCCCAGGCATGGCAGTCAGGCTCGCATGAGGAACTGGAAGACAAAATAAAACCAGGAGAGGGTCAGGTAAAGTCAGCAGCACCCCAACTGGGCTTTCCCAAGACTAAGCCACTGAATCATTTTGGGGGTTCTTCCGGCTCTCCCAGCACAGCTCCTCCGTGAGGATATTTTTCGGTACCACCTTCTGAGTGGCCAAAAGCAAACATGTTGCTGTTGTCTTCTGTTCTGACAATTAAGACAGGCAACTGAAGAGTGCAGTCAGGCCCGAGGAGCCTCTCTGGAGAAGACACGCAGATGCTCACAGCTACACCATCAGAAAAAGGGTGGGGGGAGACGCAATTCTGTCCAGCCAGGACTCAAACCCTCCCCATGTGAGGATCTGCTCCTGTTTCCAAGAAGTCCTGATGAATCACCTCCAAGAGTGGTGTTTCTGCCACCATCTACTGGTGAGAGGAGCAAAAGCCACTTGCCTGAGCTGCCACAGGGCAACATGGTGTAAGCCTGCATCTTGGATGTCATTCCAACCATCCCTTCTGGCACTTCATGCCATAGAATCACATGAATGGTTTGGGTTGGAAGGGACCTCAAAGCCCATCCAGTGCCACCCCCTGCCATGGGCAGGGACCCCTCCCACTAGCCCAGGTTGCTCAAAGCCTCATCCAGCCTGGCCTTGAACCCCTCCAGGGATGGCGCATCCACAGCTTCTCTGGGCAACCTGGGCCACTGCCTCACCCCCCGCACAGGGAAACATTTCTTCCCAATATCTCATCCCAATCTCCCCTCTTTCAGCTAAAAACCGTTACCCCTCGTCCCACGCACGAGTGCTGCAGAAATGCCAGCACCCAGGTGAAGAGCCAATATTCTGGGTCAGACCCAACAGCCCAGCTGCTGAGGAGCTGGACCGTGCAGCGAGCCACGCTGCTGAAACAGAGACACCAGCACCAAACCCTCGATTCCCTCGTGTGCCACCAAGCTGAGGCACAATTTCAGATGGACCAGAGATGCTCTGAGCTCAACTCCACAACTTCCGTGCTGTTGGCACGTCAGAAGGAAGCTGCACCTTTGCAGGACAGTATATAAATGTGTTCTGTGCCTGCACTGCAAACCAGCACATGTCCAGAGCACACTTCTTGCCATCGTGTGCTACTTTAAAGAAGAAACCTCCTTGTCTCATGCTACGTCCCATCCCCAACGAAGGTTCAGTACAAATTCCAGGATATACCACCTGCTCTCAAAGCAAAAAGAGAGCACGGCAGGGATCAGGTTCCTTCACAGGACTGAGCTTTTGGGACTAAAATTTACTACCCCCACCTGTTCTCAGAGAGGCACAATGAGCCGGCTGGAGGCTCGCGAACAGGATTAGGAGATCAGAGGAATCACTGCAACCTGAACAGTAGATTTCCATTTTATGCTCTCTCAGCTTATGGCTCTCAATTCCTGCTATCGCAGAGCAGCTGAATACATACGTGAACTCCGAGAACAATCTGATCACTGTTACGAGAAAGGACATCTTTTTATTGAAAAGTATTCACCTCGTTATTAGAGCACAGAGGAATCTGTATTATTAAATATTTACTGATGCATAAATTGGAAGAAAATGGAGGGTTTGCTATAAAATCCTGTTTGCTAGTACACAAGAGCAGCATAAATTCCTCCTCAGTTATTCTACTTAACCTCCTCTGCAGGGAACAGGATTTGCAGCTAGGACAGCAAGATGAAGAAATCTGTTCAGATGCATACTATGTACTCATATCTATACCCCCACCCATATCTATCCCCCCCCCCCCCCAAGAAACTAGTCATTACCATCTTCAAAGTATTTTAATACAGGACAAAATAATAAAAAAAATTAAAAGTATAATTTAGCCCTTAAAAAAGCCAAACCCCAAGGCACACATCACAAAGCACGCCACACAGCAGCACAGAGTCGGTGGCTTTGGGCAGGAGCGTGCGGACCCTCCTCCCACAGAACCTCTGCACAGCCATGGTCTGAATCCTCGTCCTGTAGGCAGCGGGATCAACCAGCAAGGCAGTCGTGATTTCCCATTTGTGGGGCAGGACGCTTGCTTAACCCACCCCACGGGAGCCAGCAGCACGGCTCAGTGCCTGGAGCAGCCTTCTGCAGAGGGAACCTCCACCCTAGAGCCTTGGCTGCCAACAGCCACGCTCACCTGGGCCCTGCGCTGGTGACGGTCCAGGTTTGAGTGGGACACTGGGCTAGGGAACAGCACAGGCCTCTTCTCTCTGGCTTTACTACCAATATGCAAGTACCCCATGTTTGAGCCCCAAAAGCTCAGCAAGACACCCTATTGCCAGTAAGCAGCTCCAAGAGTATCATGGACATATTGATGCTTTGAAAACGCTTCAAAACCAAGATCTTGTGAGTGTTTCCACTCGGTTTTTCAGCTTCTGCCTTATAAGGAGAAGCAAATTTTACTTTATTTGCTCAAATGTCATGAAAGTGCTGTTCTCATCCTTGCAGACAGGTGCTAGAGCAGCAGCTCGGTGGCTGGGTCACCGTAAGTGTACTTGCTGAAAGCCCTGTCCTTTTCAAAAGGTCACATACACGTTATTACATCTGCATTTCCCTGGTACTTGTGAATAGCTCCCACCTAGTCCTGCACAGCATTTTTCCATCCTTAGTCCTCTCAGTATTTTAAAAAACAAGATCAATAAGCTTCTTGTCATTTAAAATACAGAGAAATGGAAGCATGGAAATGACCAGTGTGACAGAGGACACAAAGCAGCCCAGCAGCAAAGCCAGGAGTGGCACCCAGGCTTCTCCAGCTCACGTACCCATGCCTTCCACTTCTCCTTCCCAACAGGCTGCTCCTACAAAGCTCTCCTTGCAACAGCCAACAGCCCAGCAGCTAGTGACCGTCTTGTCCCAGCTGCTCTTGGGCAGGCTCACGCTCAACAAAGGAACCTCTCCGCAGGCAAAAATGGTGAAGGATCACTCCAAGACTGGCTGAGGAGGAACAAGGACATTTGTGAAAGCCACAAATCAGCCCTCGCAGCACCAAGCGGTGCGTAGAGAGGCTAGACAGGTGTCTGCCTGGACTGGCTCTGAGCAAAGCTAAGTGCCTTGGATATTTCTGCTGGACAGGGGCAGGAGACGCATTAGCAGAGTTGGGTGTGTGCGTGCACGTGGGTGCGTCAATACCGCAAATGCTTGGCACAGCCACCAAAAATCTTCTCCCAAATAGCTCAAACAGTGCTTTGTCCAACGCTGTTCACATCCAAGAACAGGGATAAGCCACAAGACCATATTCTCTATAGGGAACTCCTGTTCCCATAGAGAGGAACTTGAACGCTTCAACTTTGAGCATCAAGAAACAGGTACAGGAAATAATTTGAATTTAAATTTGGGATAACAGACTGTTTACCCCCCTGTACAAGAGAAAGATGCACACAAAAAGTGCAAAGTCACCAAAAGACTCATGGTGGTTTAAAAGCAGGAATACAATAAATAGCATTAAACCGTAACACACAGTCAAGGCAACGAAAAGCCAAGCCTGGAAAGAACTGGCAATACACCGCTTTTCTATTTCAAAACAGACTGCATAAAAAGCCAAGCAGCTTAATAAAGCACTGCTTTGAGTGTAAAAGCCAAGCTTCCACCAAGAGCTAGCAACTCATTTTGTCAATACTCAATACAGAGCTCAAGTCTAAACAAACCTCTATGAGTATGGGCCAGTTCCATCTAGTGGCACGAATAAGAAGTTTATTCATGTTTATAGCACCAGGCTGCCAAGAACGTGAAGTAACAAGATCAAAGCCACCCTAGGGTCTCGCCCTGCACAAACAACATCATCAAAAAAGCAAGCAAGACAGACGGAAAGCAGCTATCCCACACCACCTCCATGATTTCAGCGACTATTTATAGGTAAAGAATAAGGCTATCGATACCCAAGCTCTAACATGACCGTCAGCTTTTTTCCAATACGCTTAAGGACAGGATACTGGAACTGTTTTAAAATAAAAAGACCTGGCAGCAGGCAGATACACACTTTACAAGCTTTTTTTTTTTTCCTTTTTCTTAAAAACTCCCAGCTGCACTACAGCACACAAACTGGGCTTGGGACATGAATCAATCAGGGTTACACTAAACTCATCATGACCCCAAAGCCCCCCGCTGACAGCGCAGTGAAGACTGCCACACTGAAGGTGCGGTTCCGCCACATCTCCTCTCTGTTTTCCACATTATTCCGTGTATTCATGACCCTGCACATCCCAGTTGTTTCACTGCACAGGCAATAGAATCCTCCCCGTTAAGGGTTTTTTCCCCACAGCAACTTGAGAGGAGAAGCACCCATGAACAGAACAGCCACCAGAAAAATCAGAGACTGTCAGGGACTTGGGTGTAACTGTTGTCTGAACTGCCCAGACCTCAGACTGACAGTTTAAGTCACATGCACTTTCCAAACACTTCTCGCACATGCAAAAATAAAATCTACAAAGCCCCCAGTCCCAAGCACTACTACGAGCTGACAGATCTGCTGCTGGGAGGTGAAGCAGGTCTCAGGCACACACAGAACGCTTACACGAGGATTTCCAAAACCCACTCAAAATCCCTGCAAACACTACCTCACATATTTTTAGCCCAACCTAAAAATAGCAAGCATCGGTACTGTGCATCTATTTAAACTCCTGGTATATGCAGGCACTTCTGGACTGCAGGAATTGGAGCAGAACTCAAACCCGTTCCCTCCACCTCGCATTCGTGCTTCAATGAGCATCTTCAGACAGGGCTGGAACAGAGCAACAGCCAAGGGGAGACCCCCTCCCAGACACAGCGTGATTCATTTTTTCCCCCCCACTTTACAGCATTTGAAATCCTGAACTCCCACATACCCAGGATGGGACTAGACTCAAAATGCTCTTTTCTGGCTCTAGCTCAAGGCAACAGGACCAGACAGAAAACACTGCAGGGGAGGTAGGAACTGAAATCCCAACCGAATGGGGAGGAAA